AAAACAAATCCGTCTCCAGTATTCCGCATCGATTCCGGTGTTTTTCATTATTCCGACCTCAATATTTAAAACAGAGTATAATAAGATTCAGTAGTCATGATATGTTGAAGGATAAACAAGCTGTGAACTCCTTTTGGTTGACCCACTAAAGTATCTTGCTAAGCAAGATCTCAGAATACATTTAATTACCTGCTCCATAATTCAGAAACTAATTCAAAATGCAGCTTTAAGCATATGGAACAACATCGGTTCTAAAAAAAAAGTAGAGTAATACAGATCCGGGATACGATCCCCGTGGTGGATAGAGCGAAGATGGCCCATTGTGTAGATAAAAAAAAAGAGTAATAAAAATGTATAACTATATATAATTTTTGATAGTTTCCAAATACCTTAATAATCCAAAAATGCATGTTGGATTTAAAAAAAGTTAGAGTTGTAAATTAGTTTAGGATACCTTACAAAATCTACTCCGTGTTTTACATAAATCTACAAATAAACCTAAGATTTGTATATCGTCTTGTATGGTTGACATGACAGTCTTACTGGACAACTCTGTTTAGGACTGATATCAAAACATGATGATTTGAATTTCGCGCAAAGGGTTTGTTTGTTTTTAATTATGCACAAAGCTACACAAGGGCTATCTGTGCTCTGCCCGCCACGGGTATCGAAACCCGGTTTCTAGCGTTGTAAGTCCGCAGACATACCGCTGTGCCACTGAGGGGCTCGCGCAAAGGGACATCTACGATAGCCCTCTCCAGTGTAGCAGTGATAGACTAGAGGGACGGCAGCTAGTCATCACCACCCACCGCCACCTCTTCGGCTACTCTTTTAACAACGAATAGTGCGATTGACCGTCACATTATAACACCCCCGCGGCTGAAAGGGCGAGTACGTTTGGTGTGACGTGGATTCGAACCCGCGACCCTCAGATTGCGAGTCGAGCGCCCTAACCACCTGGCCATGCCGTGCCACATTTTTTGTATAGGTTAGACAGTAACTTGCTTGAGAAATTAGGGATAACGTGTATTTATTTTTCCAGGACGAAAACTTACTTTAAAATCTTATTAATCTAAATTTGATGGTACATAAGGGAACAGTATAATTTGCAGTAGTACCAGTTGCTTTAGCTACGTTCTGTTTAGTCCCCCCTTACCAGTTGCCTTAGTTACGTTCTGTTTAGTCCCCCCCCCCTCAGTTTCGACCTTAATCCCATCTAGTTTGAGGTCAGCCGGTATGTTTGTAAGCCATGAATTTTTACACTCGGGTGACTGACCCAGTTAGCGACCATATAGGATGAGCAGATTCAGATTGCGAGTCGAACGCTCTAACCACCGAGCCATGCCAGGCTCCTCGTTTAGTTCTAACGGTAAAAAACACATTTTTTGTTAGGATTTATTTGCTTATTGCTAGGCAAAAATCTACACACACACTAGGCTTGTTCTGACTTCTGATTACCGCAGGTATCAAAATCCGAATTTTTGACGTTATAAGCTCCGAAATCTACCTCAGTCAGCGGAGGGGGGGGGGGCGTTCTTCTAGAAAGCTACAAGTACATAAACACTCGACCATCCTCGTGAATGCTTATAAATGTATAGATGTGCTAGGAATTAAATATATTTGTATGTATATATATATATATATGTGTGTAGTATATGAAAACCACTGAACATGCACCAAGCGATACAAGTACAATTGGTTCCACTCGTTTCAGCCTCACTGTGGTTAAACAGCTTACTATAATCTTTACGGTTAGATCTTTCTGTATTTTTAGTTTTTATCATAAAAGGCACAATTGTCTTACTATATTCTGTTTTCTCGTGAGAAATATTTGAATAAGGTAACAAAGTTCTGGCACCGTCATTACCTTGGCTAAGGAACCTTAAAAACATCTTGACCTTTGGCCTTTCAGCATGACCCATAAATCATCAAGATCTATCGTGTTCAATATCATCATACAAATTCAAATTGCTAACTAGTTATTTAATATTACGTATCACTATAGCAACAGCTAACTAGTTATTTAATATTACGTATCACTATAGCAACAGCTAACTAGTTATTTAATATTACGTATCACTATAGCAACACACAATACACGTAATAATAATCATGTACGTTGCAAATAAGTATGAAGTTTTTGTGTTTTACCATTGTCATAGACGTGAGTTTTACCATTGTCATAGACGTGAGTTTTACCAATCTTGAACACTTTTTTTTTCATTATTTCATCATTTTTCTGCATCTCGCGGTTTTTTCCTACTGTGCGTTTTTACTTTTATCCAAGTAACGGTTCTGTTTGTTTGTAATTAATCCCAAAGCTTCACAATGGGCTATCTGTGCTGTGTCCACCATGGGTATCGTTCAAAGTCATGAATATTTCTTGTTACAATGCCAATAGCACATCGTCCCTTATGAACATCACAAATGGATATATCAAAACTTTAGGACAATAAACGAAAACGTTCATGTCGATAACGAATGACAACAAGAACGCTGCCATCAACAGCTGCCATCAATCCGGGTTTCGATACCCGTGGTGGGCAGATCATATTCGGAGTTCAATCTCTTCTCAGGTAGCCCATTGCATAACTTTGCCCAATAAAACAAACCATAAAATTCAAGGATATAAACCATATATTTTTTTTTCAGAACTATAGATCCCACAGTATTGTCTATTTTATCACCTTAAAAGTTAAATATGTAAGCAATTAAGTTTATGCTAATAAAATAGTATTCGCATTTACTTCTCAAAGTATCTTCTTACAATATGTAAACACAGTCTTACTTGAACATTAGAGGAAGTTCCTAGCCTTCTGTGAATTAGTCAAACCGAAAGAACTCCTTCTGAAATTCCTATTTTAAGGTAAAAATTAAACTTAATTTAAAACTGAAATTCCTTCTTTTGTTTACACGGTTTTCCAACCGACAGTAGTCACACAATTATTGGCTTTTTATTCTCGTTTACGTGCCCTGCAAACCCTTGCATGAGACAGACGTTTTATGTACAAATATAGGGTGCCGCGTCATGTGACTCGTGACGTACAACGACGTCACGTAATACAACTGCTTTAACAGAGAAGTTAGTCTAACATGTTAGAAAATATAGGGTGCAACAATAATTTCAAGGTAGTGCGAGGACTTTTCAGTGAATTCCTCGTGCGTCACTTAATAATATCTCTAACCATACGTACGTTTAATTAGAAATAAACGTTCAGTAAAACATTATTTAAACTATATACACACAGCTAGGTTCAAAACACATGTAAACTAAAATAAACGCATAAATTAATTTAGCTAATTAATTGAATAGAATTATAAATCTACGCAAGTAATCTTTTAGTTAGTGATTCATACTAGTTATAAGATTAGAGCAGTGGTATATCTTGAGTTGTGTTAAATCAAACTTATGCTTACAGTTAATTCATTGCATTTTTTAACATTCTAAGTAGTGGGGCATTTCCACCAATGGGTGTCCCCCATTGGGACACGCGCGTGGGCAGAGCACAGATAGCCCATTATGTAGCTTTGTGCTTAATTTCAAATAAACAATAAACAAACAAACAAACAAACAAACCACCAGTGAGCCCTCTTTCCAGCCCCACCACTGAAGGAAAAATTTGTCTTTTTGCAAAGGGATTAAAATGATTGTTTATGAATAATCATAAGGACAACTGATTTATAGTTTGGACCGGACCTAGGTCACACTGTGCATTAATGTAACACTTGTAGAACAGCCTTGTAAAGTTTGGACCGGAACTAGGTTACACTGTGCTAATATGTTTTAATGTAACACTTGTAGAACAGCCTTGTAAAGTTTGGACCGGAACTAGGTTACACTGTGCTAATATGTATTAATGTAACACTTGTAGAACAGCCTTGTAAAGTTTGGACCGGAACTAGGTTACACTGTGCTAATATGTATTAATGTAACACTTGTAGAACAACCTTGTAAAGTTTGGACCGGAACTAGGTTACACTGTGCTAATATGTATTAATGTAACACTT